GTGTGTGTGTGTGTGTGTGTGTGAGAGAGAGAGAGAGAGAGAGAGAGAGAGATTGAGAGAGAGAGAGAGAGAGAGAGAGAGAGAGAGAGAGAGAATGAATCCAGGCTAAATATTTAAAAGGAAGTAAGAATTGGCTGTGGAACTTAGGAATGTTTGGATGTCAGTTTTACTACCTTTACCTACATTCTTCCTTGAAATATTCATAAGAGACCTGAGAAATAAACATATCTATTTTATAAATGGGGAGCGAATAAGGATGGAATTATTTAAAAGCTTATACACAACTGGGTCATAGGGAAATGCCAGTTCATTGCTTCGTTGAAACGCAAGACAATCTTTAAGTTAGTACAACAAACATCTACAAACGAGGCTGCTTCCAATGCACTGCAAGTTTAAATGAAGCATGAGTCACCATAGTGAAAGAATAAGAAACCCGTTTGATTTCCATGGAATGATTGTTGCTCTTGGACTGACCATTGAACCATTCAGGAAAGGCAATTCTTTTACAATACCTATCTTAGCTTTGTCTGAGTTACTTTTCTATTTCTGTGCTAAGGCATCACAACCAAGGCAATTTATAAGAAAGTATTTAAGTTGGGCTTATAGTTTCAGAGAGTTCGAGTCTATGATGGTGAAACAAAGGGATGGTGCCACAAACAGCTGTGAGTTTACATCACTCTGTAGACCAGACTGGCCTAGAACTCAGAGATCCACCTGCCTCTGCCTCCTGAGTGCTGGGATCAAAGGTGTGCCTTGTGTGCCACCACTGTAGCTGTGAACTTACATTTTAATCAGCAAGTAGGAGGGAGAGAGAGAGAGAGAGAGAGAGAGAGAAAGAGAGAGAGAGAGAGAGAGAGAGAGAGAGAGAGAGAGAGAACAAAAATATACTAGAATAGTCTGAGTCTTTTGAAATCTCAAAACCCACCACCAATGACACACCTCCTCCAACAAGACCACACCTCCTAATCCTTCCTCAACAGTTCTACCAACTAATCATCATTAGTTGGTAATACTACTACTACTGGTATTATTTGTGGTATTAGACCAATTATTCAAACATATGAGCCTATGGGGAGCTTTCTCACTCAAACCACCACACTATAAGTTAAAATGTACATTTTATTGGTTTACAACCACAGGGATTTGGTTCATAGACAAAGCAAAGAGATTATTTTTGTTTATGGATCAAAATGAAAACATTCCTCAACCCTGAAAAAAAAAGGAAGTTTGAATGTGGGAGAGAATTAAGACACATTCACATTCTTATTTTCCAAATGGGACAGTTAAACCCTTTTCAGTCTCTGATCCTCTCCTGTGAAATGAGAAACGTATTCTTACCGCTGTAATTGTTGTAAGGATTAATGAGCCCTGACTGGTGAGGTGGCTCAGTGGGAAAAGGTGCTTGCCACCAAGTGTGTGAACCTGAATTTGAGCCATACAACACAGACAGGGGAAAGAAAGAACTAATTTTTCTCTCTGCTGTGCTCTGACCTATACACATGTACCATGAGACATGCATGCCCACATATGTACACACGCAAAATAAATAAATACATGCAAGGGGCGATTAAAGAGCCTATATTTAGGAAATACCTGAAATGAAGTAGACATCTGACTAACTGCAAGGAGGCAAGCATGTAGGTAGAAGGAAATCAAACTTCACTGATGCGGGAGCAGTCGCGGCTTTAAAGCTATGCTATAAACCCCCTTTCATGCAAAAACTATCACTGCTCAGAAGGCATGGTGAGTATGAATAATGAAATCATAGAGGTCGTGGACCTAGTACAGGATATTTGAGTGATGGAAGGTCTGTGTGACATCATCACCTTATCTTGTTAGTTGGAAGCATTGAAACTCTGGGATACTTCTTGACTCACCTAATTTCTTTCAGAAGTGACTAAGCCAGAGTTGAAACCAGGAATGTTGCCTGCCTTGAGCTGGGTGGCCCAATGGATCAGATACTCCAGCTGAGCTCCTGGTGTTTGCTCTGTACACATTTCTAATGAATAGGTCCCTAGGTTTAATTAAGGAGAAAGGAGATTAATTGTTTCTCCCAACAGCTGCAAATTATTTACATTGCATTTGTGTTGATGGCTAATAAAAGGGCAAAGGCGGATGGGGACAGCCCGGGACGACTGTAATTCTTACAGAGTCCATAATGAAGTGCAGGTCTGAACGACAGAATGTGAGAAAGGAAGAGCCTGCTTCCCTGTGCATACCTGAAGTGGGCAGAGCTGCTCTCTGCTCTGAGCAGGATTCAGTTAGCAAAAATGGACCTTGGGGGCTCAGACTTGAGACTGCCTGGGCATATATTTTCCTGCTCCAGCAGACTGCCACTCTGTTTGTGATTGCTGGAGAATGGGTGAGAAATAGGAGGATGGTGATTCAAGGTGTTGTTCCCCACCAATCCCAGGACAACTCCTAAATAAGCTTTTGATGGATGATGAATTGGGAAAGGGAAGAGGAACAAGAGTTCACCTCAATTCTCTAAGCCCCTGATTTTCCATGGCTACTGAAACTCTTGTATGATCGGTAACAGTAACGTGGTATTCCATGAACCCTTTCTGGAGAACCGTGAACAAACATCTAACTCTAGATGAAGCAATGGCAGGTCAAGGTAATGATTTCAATCAAATCTAGCCTGGTGAACTAATTAATTTATTGAGTTTACTTGCAGCAGCGGGAGGGAGAATTTAGAATAGTCTATGATCCCCCCAAATAATCATGTCATTAAAAAGTCTGATTTCAGCACAGGTGAAGACTTCCCCATGATGGCATAGATGAAATACCCCTTCGTTTGGTCTTCCATTCTCTACCGTAGCACCTTTGGAGAGTGCATTCAGTTACATCAGAGTTTCCTGCCGCTATGAAGGGTGACGTGAGGGAATAAAAGTCTTTGGTGAGGGTCTAATGACTTACCTCCTATGGGTGACCTCAATAGGCCCAACATGAGGGGCCTATTGGAGGTCTCAGATGCTTTCACTTAGAAGTTTATGGCTGTTACACTATGAGAATGGTGCTCTGCAATACATGTGTTTATGTGCATGAAATAATACATGTATATTTATTTTTGTGAATGTCTTTAGAATATGGTGAGGTGCTAAAAGTTTTGGTTTTCTTACCCATTATAAGATATGTTATCATCTTGAGATGTCACTCTTTGTAAAAGTCTTTTCTTTATCATTTTTACAATGATCACCCTTATATCATAGGTTGCTGTGGGGAATATACATGACCAAAGATATTCTGAATCTTTGGAATAGAGTGTGAGGGTTAGTCATATTAGTTTAACAAGTTCTTTTGTTTTTAAAAATATCTGCTTTTCTCCCTTAGTCCTGAGGATGTATGTGAGAGATTTAAAAGAGGTTAAGATGTTCTCAATTAAAGGGTCACACTTGGTGCTTATGTGGAGTATTGACTGGGAAGGGTAGGGACTTTTCTTGGGAAATGAACTAAAATACTTGTATAGATACCTAAGTGGTGTCATAAGGAACCAGAACAAAAATTAGGCAACACACATCAAAGAGATGAATGATAAAAGTTGGATATTTACCAGAGATGTCCATATGTGAACATACAAAATCTTGTCACATCTTATCTCAAACCTCTGGTCATTGTTGGTCCTTGTTAGTGCATTACACTAACAAGTGCTTGATAGGGTTCCAACATAGACCCATAAACTAAGTACCTTAGAAAAATGGAAATGTATTATGTCACAGTTTTGGATGCTTGACATCTAAAATGAAGGTGTTGCAAGATCACGCTTCATGTGTATATCTGTACTCTGGAGAATGATCAGGTTGATGCTCCTATCCTAGATAAAACCCAGTGGCTAGTAGAAGTACAGCTCTGTGTGTGTGTGTGTGTGTGTGTGTGTGTGTGTGTGTGTGTGTGTGTGTGTTTATGGTGCTGGTATATGTCTCCTATAAAAGGAGACCAGTGGTCAAGCTTGAATATCATTCCTCAGGTACTGCCCATCTTGGTTTTTTAATTTTATTTTTTATTGGCATAGTTTCTTCCATTGGCATCTGGTATTTACTTATACACTGGGTGTCCAGCAAGTTCCAGGAATTCACCTGTCTCAGCCTCCCTAACACTGGTATTACAAGCATTGACCTTCATGCCTAGTATTTTGCCTAAGAGCTGAGGAATCAGCTAAGTCTTAAAGCTTATACAGAAAGCACTTTACTAAGGGAGTTATTTCCCCAGGCCAGCTCCAATCTTTCATGGTATGTTTCTTGCATGCCTGGCTGACTGTTCATGAAAATGTCCCCTTTTAATATGGACACCAGTTATGAACACTGGGGATTTGCCCCAGTGTCCCATTTTAAATAGATTGCCTCTGTAAAGATTTTCTTTCTAAACACAGACAAAAACTGAGGTAAAGTCCAACCTACGTTTTAGGTATACTGACATTACACATGTATATGTTTAAGTTTATCAATTGTTCATTAGATGATGTATGATTTGAGCTGGTCAATTTATTGAAGAAAAACTTCAATTGATAAATAATTTCGATTATTTGAATAGTCTTTAAATAATCAGAAAATACTCAGTGTTGGTTGCATATTGACATGTATGTTGGAACTGGTGTATCTATGTCTTATATATATTTGTATTTTAATCTGCTAATGGTATCTATGGATGGGTCAGTTAAGTTGAGGTCAGAACTCCCAGCACACACCGTATAATCTGCTTGTTTGTTGACTGCTAGCAGATTTTAACTCAGAGGTATCTATTAATAGGTAACATTAGATATTTTAACTCTCAATAATGTCTGTCTTTACTGATGTTGCTGCATACCTTATGTGGCCTGTGTGTATCTTCTGGCTGTCGGGGCACAGCCCTGAAGCTTTTCTACATAGCAAGTAGGATACTGTGGTTTTTTGACCTAGTTAGTTGAATATGAGTCTATGACGGGGAAAATATGAAGCATTAATAGTTCTGTTATAGATAAATTTCTCACATGATGATCTTTTTGTTTTGTGTTGCTTTTCTAGTCAATAAACACAAACCATGGATTGAGACATCGTATCACGGAGTCATTACAGAGAACAATGACACAGTCATTCTGGATCCTCCACTGGTAGCCCTGGATAAAGATGCCCCAGTGCCTTTTGCAGGTAAGATTGACACCTTGGTAGGCTTGGCCTGACTTGCTCTGGAGGCCTGATTTGAAACCTCCACTAAGCCCAGCTAGGACCTAAAAGTTATTGTCACCACCCTGTATGTGGAAGCCCTGTGTGTTTCAAGGTGTGTGTATCTTCTCATTGTTAGTGTGGACTCTTTAGCACATCGCCTTCACAATGCATCCTGTGGAAGACCCATATTCCTCCTTTTTGTGTTTGTTTTTGTTGTTTTGGTGGTTTTGATTTGTTCTATTGTTGAGACAAGGTCTCTTTATATATTTCTGACTATGCAGGAACTTGCTATGTAGACCAGGACGGCCTTGAACTCACAGAGATCAGCCTGCCTCTGTTTCTGCCTTCCAAATGCTAAGATTAAAGACATGTGCCACATGCCCGTTTTCCTTTCAATTAGAGGTGATAAACTACCGAAATGACCCCTAGAGTTGGACAAGATGGACTAGTGAATGTCCTTGGGAAATTTTGCTCCTAGAGAGATGGCCTGCATACATGATAGGATGTGGCCACCACTGTCCCCAATACCTACATACCACATAGGGACTTGTGTCTTGGTAGATGGACAAGAAAGGAGGAAACAAAAAAACTTATCAAACAATACTTGCTAAAGGTCAGATGAGATTGTGCCCTTGAGCTTCAACATGAGGATGGCTTCCAGGGGAAGAATCTAAAGTCAGATGCCCTTTGTGTCTCTTGGCTAGAAATCTTTCTTATTATCTTCAAGGTCACTGCTTTCACTCTGACCTGCAGAAGTCAGACCCTATGTAGTGAGGATATGACGCTATTACCTGTTTCCATGGATTTGGGTAAAGACAGGAAAATGGACCATGGCTTGGGTAGGAGGCCTTAGACAAAGAATGTCTGAGGGTGCCTGAATCACGAGTAATGGTGTTCACATTTTATAACTGTCAAGCGGAAGACAGGAAATTTAATGAAGGTTTTCAAGACCTCTAGAAGATTGCTTTATGATCGATGGGTGCCAGGCAGGGGTTTTCACCATGATGAAGTCTATTTTTTCTGACAGTTTGTCTGCTACATTATGAGCTACTTGAGCAGAAAAAAAATGATTCTTTCGCACTTTTAAGAGAGATGCTCTGTGAAGGCCTTTTATTCATTACGGAAGATTATGACGGCAGGAGGGCTGGGCTGGGTTGAACTCAGTGTGATGTGAAGGTAAGCCCATAAACATTCTTACTGTGGGGGAAAAACTCTTACAAGGCTTTACCTTTATTTTATATAAAATGATAACTAATGGGCATCTAACTGTGATTTCCATGATGTCTATGGTTGGGTATCTTCAGACATCTTCCAAATGTCTTCCAACCAAATGACACTTGGAAGTACTGTGCCATTTTTTTCTCATGTTATCTTTTCCACCCCTACCCTTCTTCGGCAGCCTAGAAATAACCTACCTTGCATTCTTCCATATATAAATAGCACAGCAGTGTGGTTAACCAACACCTTTAACAATGTCTAGAAATAAGGTTGTTGAAGCAAATACCAGTAAAAATATGTTTGCGTCATGGAAATCTTTTATTTGGCTTTTAACATATGCTTAAAATAAATCCAGCATTAAGAAACTGGTAGATTTATCATGAAATGCACGATTCTGGTTAATCTCAATGAATCAGATCTCAAGTAGAGAACTGAGTCAGAATTTCCTCCCTCCCTTCTTTCTTCCTCCCTTCCTTCCTTGGAAGCAGGCCTGAAATTCATCAGTATAGAGACCAGACTGTCCTCAAACCTGTGGCCTCTGGCTATAGCCATTGCATTTTAGAATCACAAATCTGTGTACCAACACTGAGTTGACTGTCTCTTTAGCCCAGTTCCCTCCCAGCCGTTAATCTCACAGTGTGCGCACAGAGGCCTCCTCACTAAGTAGGGCTTAGTCTTTCCCCTCCCTGTCTGGTGGCTGACCTCTCTTTCAAGCATAACAGAGTGAACTGCTGGTCAATTCCCAGGAAGTTACAGAGTGCCCTTCAGTCATGCTGTTGTTGGGAGGCTGAGGCTTTCAAAGATGAGCAATGTGCCTGCCTCTTCGTTATGCCAACCCCTACTGGAACTCTCTTTTGGTCTGGTTGTGAGCAAGGAACTGAAATCTGCAGCAAAGTGACCCACTCCCAAACAGAGGGGACACAATAAAAAGAACTTTACATTCAAGCAAATCTGATATTTGAGAATTTATAGTCACAGCAGATTCCTTAACACTTTCATTTATTAGGGCCTACAGACAATTAAAAAATCATCTGCAGATTCATCTGAGCGTTTCTTCAGTTGAAGCCTGGTCCAGTGCCTTATGCCATAAACTTGAATTTGTATTTCGTCAGATGTGCTTACAGTTGTTCAGGCTTGTTTGGAAACCCAGATTTGCCTCTCAGTCAAGCCCCGAGGAGCTATTTCCAACCAGAGACAATTTCTCTACTCCACCTGCTATCGTTGCAGCTGCCTTTAAAAAAAAAATCTGGCTTAATGCATCAAAATATAATCTGCCAAGCTCCGAAGAGTAAAAAATAAAGGTGCTTCTTATTATGGTCAAAGCTATTTTTCTCAGTATTATTTATGACCAGCTGTAAGACAGGACACAGACACTAGCCATCCATCCAGCTACGGGCATTTATTTTAAAACATTTATCTTAAAAAGAAAATACTGTGGATTTATTTCAGATCCCTATCATTCTCATAAAATTGAAAAATTTATATCTGCCAGCTGCATCACCCTCCACGTCAACGGAGCTTCTGGTCCTCCTCATCGAGCACCCCTGAATTAGGGGTCACTTTCCCCAGCTTTCTCCTGCGTCTTTCCTTCCCGTTGAGTGGTGAGCCGAGCTGTGCTCTGTGGTCGACCATTCCCTTTAGATCATTTTCTACTACTTTATTTCTCTTATCTTCTCCTACCTTTTGGAATTTTTAGAAAAAAATTCTTCTATAAGAATTCTGTTTGAAAATAATTTAGGATTATATGCTACTATAAGTGATGCTCATCTAAATAAAAAGCAAAGTATGTATTGTAGAAAACATGGAAAGTCCTGTGACGTGCACACAAGAAGCATACAGCTTGCATCTTCCCACCACTAGAGACTCTTGGCATTTCAATGTACTTCCTCCAGTCATGTTTCTATTCCTTGCTAAAAATTATTATTGCATCTTACATGTAATATTAGAATTGAGTGTTAGTGTTACTTTAAAAATGACATTAGCCCTATAAATATCCAAATGAATGTTCTAGAGCTTTCTTTTTTCCCCAGTGACAATTATTGTACCTATTTCCATTCCTATTTTGTTACAACATATTTACCTTTCTGTGTCTAATGGTGGATAAATTTTCATGAGTAAAATTAATTGGTCAAGCATTTCCAAGTTCCTGAAACACATTAGATTGCTTTTCAAAAAAAAAAACAAAACAAAACCCTGTATGACTTTGTTTCTATCCACAGCATCTGAGTCCTCCTCTGGCCCCCTTTTGTTCGCTCTAATCTTGATTTGGTGACAGAATGGCAGAATAGCTAATTGCATTATCTTTAATAACATCATCTGTGAATGATGCAGGCGTTCCAGGCTTTTTGTATGGATGAAATTTAAATAATGTCTGTGCCACATGTTCCAAATGTGGCGGTTGTTTAATGAATTGGAGTTTCCAGCTCGAGCCTTTTATGCCTGCCCATTTCATAAAGGAAATACCTACTTGGCACTGAGGCGAAGCAACTTGCCCGGCATTCCAGGTGAAGTTGGTTGAGGCAGGGACAATGATCTTGCTTTGAATTCGTCTCTCATTTGAGCAACAAGACCTCCATGAGACCTCAGCCAGTTCTATTAAATTTGCTTGCCTCAGTTCTCAACTTGGAGTCTGAGCTCTGTAGACTTGACCTTCTTAAAGAAACAGACACAGAAAAATCCTCAAGTAATAATGGAAATCCTGACCATTGCAAGACAAAAAAAGGAGTGATAATGAAAGCAAGCCGGGCGCACCATGAACTTATTAATTTCTACATGTGCCCCACTGAGGCCTGTTAGGAAACTGTGGAGACTTTTAAATTTGAAGGGAATTAGATGGCTTTTCAGAGATAATAGAACTACCACTCATTTGTCTACATTGGGCCAGTCTGCACTTGTCCCTTGTAAGGACAGGGCTACAGAGGATGATCAGGCATAATTGGCTGGTTTTGCCGGCTGGCTAAGTCTCTGAAGGCTGCCCAGAAAATTGTCTGGAATATGATTTGACCTGGTCTGATTAGTTGGTTACAGTGCTGGCTGTGGCAAGGACTGTTCCTTCTTTTGTGGTTAACTCCATTTCTCTATTCAGTTCAATGTCTGCCTATCTCCTTCCTCCCTATCTGTGGGTCTGTCCAAGGGACCTGGCTCTCACTTAGGGCTCAATAAGACCCTAATGGTAGAGACCACCAAGAGTTCATTCTGCTATGATATCTTATAGTGAACAGGAAAGGCAGAGGTCATAACATTCATTATTTCTAGTATTTTTAGATTGATGGCCATCATTGTATGCTTTAAAGCATATAAATACTATGTTTAAAAGCTTATCAATATAGAAGCTTTAAATCTAAGTAAGTGGCACATATATTACCTCACATAGTGTGATGGTTAATGTGGTCAAATTGGCAAAACCTAGAATCACTCAGGAGATGGCCTCTGAACATGCCCGTGAGGGACTTTCTTCACTGATGTGCTTGAGGTAAGAGGCTGGAACCATTTTGTGGACAAAAATCCTGAACTGAATAAAGAGGGGGAGCTGAAGAGCCCACGTACCCTCTTTGCTCTCTATTTCCTGACTATGGATGCCATATGGACAGCCGTCTCAAACTCCTGGCACTGTGATTTCAGGGCAAGAAGGAACATTAGCCTGGAACTGTGCGTCAAAATAAGCTTGCTCTTCTTTAGATGGCTTTAGTCAGAGAACTTTATTACAGAAACAGAGGTGCAAAGTTGTCCTTTTTTTGGTGAGAGGCTGCCACACTAAGTCTTTC